CATCAACTGTCTGTAATGGTGTCTGAATTGCTGAGAGCCCTAACACAGATGCAACAGCAAATGATCCGTGATCGGATTCAGTTGCAGACACAAATTCCTGACGTTCGTGATATGAACCAAACCATGCCAACGACCTGGAATCATACCTGGATACCACCCTCGGTGGATCCTCCGCATGGTTCTTTGGGTGGTCCTTCAACCTTACAAACTCAAACGATCAATACCTACCGTGGTCTTAGAACGTCACATATCCAAGAACCAATTAATCAACCGTCTCATTTATATCCGAATTATTCGCTATCCGGTCAACAACAATCACGACTAAGGCCCCTATTATGAGTTACATTCGATCTTCGACTGTGGTCGAAAGTGCTGATCGAGCGAATTTTGATTTGGTATTATGGCGCTCATTCGATGAAGAATAGCGCTATTGTGAACTTCGCTCGCTTATGTTGTTCACAATAGCATATTTTTCACCGCTGAGAAGCTTTGTTTACAATCAAGCAAACTAAATAGTGTGCTTATACATATTTATGTAAATTTGTGCAAATTAAAATGAAATAAAAAAGAAAGCAAGTTTATAAAAACGTGGTAAAAATTAGTACAACGAAGTTCTGGGGTTCAACGATTCGTCAGAGGATGAGAGTTTAGTGAACTGACCAGGAGTAGTAAATTCTTAAGAGAGTTTAAGTGTAGTCTTTACAATATATTTTGACATAAAATATATTTAAGAAATTTGTCTACAGATTTACTAAAAACTTCCGACTATCTAAAGAGGCGTTTGTGAGCCAAATCTATTTAAAATATTTTACAACTATCCACAGCTCTATGATTTGTTCTCAGGGATCGTGCCAACTGAGTATTGGGATTTTCCTTCACAAGTAAAGCAGTCTTTCGAGCTTGTGTTTTGTATTCACGACGTTAAAACTGCATGAAATTTATAAAAAATTGTTTAAAATTAGGGTCTACCCGCCAAAAGTAAGAAAACAAATTCAAAATCATACATTTTTCACAATTTTCTAACACTTCGCTACCCCATCGAAAGCAAAATTCTGTTCGACAGAGAATTCGATACTCAACGAAAATTTCGACACGGTTGCATAGCTCATAATAATTTCGATCTTCGATAACCAGAGAAGCGCTGAGTGCTCACAACAAAGTTCCGCAGACAGCTGATGTCCACTCCGGAGAGCCCCTCGGGGGTGTTGATGAAATGCGCATCGAGGTGCTTAAACCTTAATATATCGAATGCCGGGCAGTTGAGGAGGAAGTGCTGAGATGATTCCACCTCGCTTTCCAGACAACGGCAGAGGTAGGGATCCGTGATGATCTTGAGTCACACCGCGTGAGTTCCTATAGGACAATGTCCGGTCAGAAGGACCTTGCAACTTTGCAAGTCGGGGAATTTGCCCAGCGCTGGCTGAGCCGACTGTAAGCCCATCTGTCCAGGAACGGTCTGCTCCTACGGAACTCCTATGCCCTGCCTGTCCGAGGGTGCCCTGCCTAGCCAGTTCATCAGCCCTGCAATTTCCAGTGATATCACTGTGCCCTGGCACCCAAATCAGCTTGATTTGGAAGTATTCCGAGGCCGTTGAGAGAGTGGTCTGGCATTACCCGACCAGTTTTGAACATACCATTAGCGATCCCAGAGCCCTGGCTATCAGTGTAGATATTTACCCTGCTTGTCGACAATACATTGGTACATAGCCAGTCGGCTGCCTCGGCCTGAAAAATGTTGCAGATATCCGGCAGATTTACCCTTCTCCCATTCGTCCTTGCAGGGATGTGCGTGGGGAAGGATCCTTTTAAGGCCATCCTCGGGTGAATCCGGTTCATTTCCTCTGGCAGGTAGTCCAAGCTTTCGAGAATTGTCGAGTGCCCGTGCGCTGGGTTGAAAGACAACCCAGAGCTTTTGAGCCTAATGGCTGAGCGAACCACCACTACTTTGCCCGCAATGTCGATAAGTGCGACATTATGCATAGCATTTAGCGCTATAGTAGGAGTGGTCCAGAGCTCCACGCTGATTCCACCGAAGGCCGCCCTTTGGACGCGCTCTAGCTTCCTAACAAAAGTGGTCCTTTACAGTGAGTTCCACCAGACAATGACCCCATATATGTATATAATATTATTGGCTTAATAATGGTTTCATGTAGCCACAGCCCGAGAGGCCCCATCTCTTCCCCATGGCATTCTTGCAGCAGTAGATAGCCACCGATGCCTTTTTTACTCGTTCCTCAATATTTGGTTTCCATGATAGCTTCCCGTCCAGGATCACGCCCAAGAACTTGGCCCTATCAGAGAGAACAAGTGAAACACACCCTATTGAGGGGAGCAGGGCATGAGGCACTTTGTACCTCCTGGTAAATAGAACGAGCTCCGTATTTTCCAGGATTAACAGGAAGTCCGCAACTAGCAAACCAATTTCCGATCATATTTAGGTACCCTTGCATACGATCATACAGAGTGTCCAAGAACTTTCCTCTGACGATGAGTCCCACATCATCCGCGTAGGCAATAACCTGGCATCCTCTCCTTTCCAACTTCTCCAGGACGTCGTTTATCACAGCTATCTAGAGAAAGAAACACATTTCTGAGGCATTGCCCTATTCCGCTGTAACAGTTTTGTCGTGCAGCATACGTAGGATGAGCCTTACTGAGTAGCTATCGACTCCGAACTTAGTCAGGGCTCGTATTATCGCCCCAAGTAAGACATTATTGAAATCCCCCCCTCGATATCAAGGAAGGCACTTACTATGAAATCTTTGTTCTTAAGAGACTACATACTAGAGGGTAGATACCGCCCTAAACAAAGTTGTTCCGACATGAGACCCCCAAACTGGTTAACCGGTATGCTACAAGGGGGTGTATTACCGCCGCTACTTTGGTCGCTGGTGGTCAACAGGATACTGAAGGAAATGGAAGGAGAACCTGCCGAACTTACTGCATATGCGGATGATATCTCTGTCATAGTAAGCGGAAAGTGTCTGTCCACACTCAGTTGGGTATATATCTTTGGTCAATCGAAGTAGGGCGTAGCATCATCGCAGAAAAACCAAAACTGGTACTCTCACCAGAATACACAAGATTCCGAACTGGTCCAAGCCTATTCTGGATATGGAGACCCCTCAGGTGAAGTAAAGTACCAATTACGTCGGAATAATAATCGATAGTAAGCTATCATGGCGCCTCAATGTGTAGGAGAGGGCGAAGAAGGCTTCCGTGGCATTCTATGCGTGCAAAAAGATGACAGGCAGCTTCCTGATACTCCTCATGGTATCAGTTGTTCTTTCGGACTCGCTGAAATCCGACTACTTCTTCTTCGGCGGCGGTACTTAATGAGCGGGAAATGTGGTTCCACTGCTCGCATATGTCGGCTTGTTGAAGAGAGACCAGGTATGAGAGTCGAGTAGCGAATGCATTGGCTGTCTGTTGTGATTGCAGCTTTTCGACGTTAAGCTTTCCTTGCATATTTCGGCGCACATTTTTTGCTGTACAGAAGCGGGTGCGTATCTTGGCTGCAACAAGATAGTGGTCCGAGTCGATATTTGGGCCTGGGGCTTGTCGCCTTCTATTTCTCACTGGATCTTCACGGCGATAATCAGACCGATACTGTTTCATGAGGTGCTGATTTGGTGGACAGCATGGGAGAAGAAAACATTTTTTACCGATCTGGGCGGGGTTGTTGTAGCCGCTACAACAACAACAACAACAACAAAACATTTTTTAAGAGTATAGAAGGTGTATATAGGCCACCAATGATCGGCATGACAGGCGCACTTAGGACTACACCGACGGCGGCACTCTATATCTTGTTGCATCTCTTGCGGGCGGACCTATGGGCCAAGAATATAGCGGTGAAAACTGCCGCCAGGCTTTATGCTACGAGTCACAGTAGTATAGCGTCAACTTTACTTGGACGCATTGACTACACCATAGAGGTTGAAGGCTGACGGGAGGACATGCGGAGTGCAGGCTCGGTGAGTGTCTATACAGATGGATCTAAGATGGAGAAAGGAATAGGGGTGGCAGTCGTATGCGCGAGGCTCGGTCTCAACAAATCTTATAAGCTGCCAAACTATTGCAGTATTTTCTAGGCGGAATTATTGGCCAGAAGGAGCGCGGCTAAGCTACTGAACAGCGCTCCAGATAACAAGCGGGTGAATTTCTATATATACAGTCAGGCTGCAATAAAGGCGCTACTATTCCAGAGCACTTCGTTTAGAAGTTTGGCGGAGTGCAAAGCACTGGGTTCCGGGGCACACCGGCGTAGCGAAGACGCCAATAGGCTGGCCAAAGGGGGTGCTCTGTCGAAAACCATGCTGATAGAATAGGCGCCGATTTCCCTCCAAGCGATTAAACGGGAACTCGACCTGTCCATGATCCGGCAGGCGCAGAAGGCCTGGAACAAAACGCAAGGCTGCAAGTTGCCCAGGGTTATGTGCAGAGAGTATGACATGAAGCTCACGAAGTGTCTCCTTCATGGGAGGAGGGAGGACGCTAGGCTACTGGTGGGTGTTCTAACTGGACATTGCCCGCTGGCATCGCATGCCGATAAACTGGCTGTTACAAACTATACGATATACGAGGTTTTCTACCTAATCTGGAAGCCGCCGGGTATAACAAGTTGTTCCAGTTTGCCAAGAGGACTGCGATGTTCTTCAACATCGTTCCTGGTTCGCATTGATTAGCTGTCAAAAGTGGTCGTAGCTTATCTGGTAACGCTATGAACCTTAATGGTCTCTGCGAAGCCACGTAGTGGCTGGCCAGCATACCTTACCTAACCTATTAATTAAGTTTTGCTAATTCTATGTTCTTTATTATGATATTTTCCGACGAGGTTGATGTCTAGACTAGTTTTTGCATATACTATGTCTGCAGACGGATTAAAACATTTGATATCGCTAATTTTGATCGCCAAAAGATTTAGCGTAGCGATTGCCAGAATTCCGCTGCTGGACAAACAAGATTCTGAAATGATAAAACCGTGGTAAAATACTTACAACACCATTTACAGATAAAAGTTGATCTCCTCTTTTAAGTCCGCCATGCCTATCAGCCACTCCGCCAGGTATAATACGGGATATATAAATAGGGGAGTTTTGCTCCTTTCCTCCCATTACATTAAATCCAAGCCCTAAGAAAAAAATGAACAGAAATTATATTTTTAATTCGAAAAAAATATTTTATAATTGTTTGCCTTTTTTTATTTAGGGCATGTGTGAATCGGTAACAGAGTTCTATGGGGAAAGCTGTTGAAAAATATTTTTACTATGGTGGGACAGTTTTGCCAATCTGCTGTGTGAAATAAAATATTTTTTGACAGCAGTAAATTTTTGATTACCGCTGATTTATGCGGAATAAAATATTACGAATTATTGTAAAATTAATATGTTAAGAAAATATCTCCCATCGTTGATTGCAATTCATCAATATTAGCTTTTACTTAACGAAAAATTACACACATCAACAATCTTTGCGATTGTCAAAATTTTCTGTGCATTTGTCAAAAAATTCAGTACTATGATAAGTATGTAGCAATACAAATATTTTGAAATTACTCTTCACTTCTGAAATGACTCGACTGCTCCTACTACCGACACTACTATATGGCTGTAAATTATATGCTAGCTGTGATAGTGTATGTAGGGATAAATCGATACTATCAAGGTACTACTCAAATCAGTACCTGCACTTGTATCAAACAAGGTATCGAGTACTTGTACATAGAACTACGATTTTACAGATTTTTCAAAGTTATTGATTTTTTTTACAAAAAATATGCATTTTTACAAGATTATTTATCTTCTAACATTTTTTCATACAAAAACAATATTTGTTTGTTTGTTGCCCGTATGTCGACTCCTACAATCGGCCGTCCTGTATTTTCATTCGGCCCGAATGAAGGGGCCCATTTCTTCATGTATTCCGCGATAGTAGTAGTTCGTCCAGGCCCTTCGTGATCTCCTTCGTGGAACCTTCATATCGACCGTGGTCCATCCTTCGCAACACTTTATACGGCCCGAGGTATTTCGGCTTCAGTTTCAAACCAACCCCGTACTGCGTTCGTTTAATTGCGACCAGATCATCGACGCCATATTCGGTTTCCGCCTTACGACGAGCTTTAAACGTTCTACAATTTTCTTCTTGAATCGCGGCTATGTTGTCTTCAGCAAGCTCGCGGCTTCTCTCCCGCTCGGAATCGATTTCTTCTAGGTTGGCGATATTTAATAGTTCTTGCAGATCCGGCATTTCCTTTACGCGCATATCAAGGCCGGTTAATATTTTGAATGGTGACACTTTGGTGCTTCGAGGTGACGTATTGTTTATGATCTGCTGCACGCGATTCACATACTTATACCAGTTGCTCGGGTTTTCGCAACAGAGCTTCGTTATCATAGGTACAATAATCTTGTGCATCCGCTCGACTTGACCGTTTCCTCGCGGAACCCCGGTGGCAATGGTCAAATGTAGTATATTTTCGCTTTCACAATATCCTTTGAAGAGGACCGATGTGAACGCCGCGCCTCTGTCGGTTATAACGCGTGCCTGATTGCCAAAAACTGCCGACTGCTTTTTAAGTCGGTCGAATACAGCCTCTGCTCCTGTGTTTTTCGTTGGATACAACCAAACGAGCTTTGAAAAGGCGTCCACTACTACCAGCAGATAGTTGTAGGATTTGTTCGTCGTCTCCATTGGCCCGACATGATCGAGATGGAACGTACCCAATGTGCGGTCTTCCTTATTGATGGAACTTAGGAAACCTTCCCTTTTCCCAGTTTTGCTACCGTTAATTATGCACTCAATGCAACTCTCAACCACGTGCGCTGCTTTCGACTTCAGTTGCGGAATAAAAAATGACTTTTCGACTGTATCCTGCGTTTTCTTGGTGGAGAAATGCCCCTGTTTATGTGCCGTTCGAATGATTTCCTCCTCCATGAGTGAAGGTACTACTATCAACTCCTTGACGGGATCTTTGTGTAGCCCACCATTCTTCATATAAAAGTCCTTGTAATAATCCCTTTCGAGAACCTTCCGAACTGCTCTCACCCAATCGTCCTTTTCCTGTGCTTGCTTTAACCGGTGGCTTAACGAGTCTTCCAATAGCAGACACGACACCCTACTTAAAGCGTCCAAGTGCTTAATTTATTGCCACTTCGATGCTCGATTTCGTAGTCGAAGTCCTGTAAATACATAGCCCAGCGGGACACTCTCAACGGTACATCTCGTTTTTTCATAGTCATAGCGAACGCGTTGCAGTCGGTAATAATTTTGAACTTCATACCCATCAGATAAACGCGCCATTTTTTCAGTGCCTCCACTCCACTCTTGGCTTCGTCTTCCGGCTCATATATTGGATTGGATGGAACAGCTGGTCGTCGTTATTCTTTTGTAGCAACACCGCACCGTATCCGAGCTTTGAAGCATCCGTGTGTACCTCGGTAACTGCCTTCGGGTCATACAACATCAAGACAGCGCACTCTCCAAAGCGCACTTCAGCTGTTGGAACGCAGCTAGTTCTTTTTCTTGTAGTTGGAACTTCACGTCTTGTCTCAACATGTCTGACAACGGCTTGGCAATAACCGCATACCTCTCAATAAATCTCCTAAAATACGACGTCAGTCCGAGAAACATTTGCATTGCTTTGCGGTCATGTGGCAGTGGGAAACGCTTAATGGCGTCCGTTTTTGCCTCTGAGGGTCTTATTGAATTATTTTCTAAGACGTACCCTAAAAACTCGACTCTTCTCAAATTCGTAATCCTTTCGCTGCAGCCGTCTTTAAAACCACCTCTAGCTTCTGGATGCCTTCGTCTTCGTCCTTCGAGGGGATAATTAAATCATCCATGCAAGCCACGACTGTTCCATCCCTAATCAAATCCCTCAAAACGGCAAAGATGAATCTTGAAGAGACAGCCGGCGAGTTGCATATGCCGAACGGTACGTATAAAAACGCATACTGGCCGCTCCAAGTCACGAAAGACGTGTATTTTTGCGATTCCGCATTGATGGGTACGTGGAAGAACCCGTTTACTAAATCCAGCGTAGTAAATATCTTGGCGCCTTGCAACCACTCGATTACGTCGTCCAGGACGGGCATCAGGAAATTGTCCCTTACGATTTTTTCGTTCAACCGTCTGTAGTCGCAGCAAAGCCTTTTCTCGCCATTCTTTTTGGGGACCAGTACGATTGGTGACGCGTACTCAGAAGTGCTGGGTTTAATTACCCCTTCTTCCAACCACTGCGTAACCTTTTCGTCCACTAAGCATTTGTCGGCGTAGGGCATTCCTATTGGCCGCTCGTATACTGGAGTATTATCTTTTAGTATGATCTTCATCTCCACCGGGGACTCTAAATTTTTCATTGGTTTGTAGGCGGCTATCATCTCTCTAACTTTGCTTGCTTGCATGCTGTTAAGATGAGATAAGCTGACTTCTAACGATTCCTCCGTATCTACTATGAGGCACAAATCCCCAAACTCGCCGACCAGTTCCGCAACTCGATTTTCATCAGTGTCCGCCTCGCTAGATTTGACACTGTGTTTGTTCGCTTCAAGTTTCTGCACGCTCGTATCTTCGTATGATGACCCTGATCTCATTCCGCGCTTCATGACGCTCACGCTGTGTTTTTTCACAGCACCTTTGGACACCTCTTCGCTCCTATGCAGTTCGCATGCTGAAACCACGCGTTCCTTGGCGCCTACATCACGCCGCTTTACGGCACTACCCGACACCTGCCCCCGTCCATACGACGCATCGGTTACGCTATCATTTGCAACTGCATCGACCAACGAGATTTTCTTGTTGGACTCCCGTAATTGCACTGCTGATTCTTCTGACTTCGATTTCCTCTGATGGAAATCAACACCCTCCTCCGTCACTACTAGGTCGACTTGCTTCAGAACGTCGTTGCCTATAACCACGGCATAGCTTAAGTCGCGTTCGCTGGTTACGTGGAACGTAATGTCTAGTGGTACGTCGTCTATAACCATATGGGTGGTAAAACTACCCATTGTCACCAGTTCGCTGTTGCCGATGCCTACCAACCGCCGCTTCTCTTTGCTCAGTTCCGCGTCCAGCCCCAACATTAGCAAAGTATCGCTGCGCATCAAACACAAGTCAGATCCAGTATCAACCAGCGCTGAAATAGTTTTACGACACATATTGGGTGCCCCAAAAACTAAGTCCTTGAAGACCATACTGCTCCTATTCCCAGTTTTTGCCATAGTATTCACGCTACCCCTCTCCGACTTGGCCGGCTTGTTGACCGCTTTGCACTCCGCTGCACGATGACCTTCTTTTCCGCAATTGAAGCACTTGTATTTGTTTCGTGGACAATTTCGGGCGATATGCGAACTGTCGCCGCATCGGATACATTTTCCACTCCTCTGATGGGAACTCGGACCCGCTTTGTTTGATGACGATGGTTAGAGGTTTTCCGCGCATTATTTTCTCGAAGATTTTAATTTGCTCCGTAAGATCATTAATAGATTTTGCTTGATATAAGTTAGCTTTGGTTGATTTGGCCTCTGGTATTCCTTCGATGAAGTACTATATAAGGCAGAGGTCATCCAAATTTATGGACCTTCCAATTTCCATCAGGCTATATAAGTATTCTCGCAAATCTTCATCTTGCTTCTTACGACGGTTCCTTAAAGCGCGGTGCACCTCAACCGACGACGATGCTGCACCAAATTCCTCCTGCAAAGCCGACCTGAGTGAACTCCAACTACTGACACCGATACGGCTACGCACAAACATTTTCGCAGCTCCCTTCAACAGCTGCTTGCCATAAATATACTTTTGTAGCTCGCTCCACTGCACTGCTGTCGCATTTTCTTGAAAATCTGTTAGCCGTTGTTCGAAGCTGGGCTGGCCTGAACCACTGAATGACGTCATTGAGTCCTCAATGTCGCGGAGAGTAAACATCGAACGTTCGGCAGCTGGAACAAGAAGGCTGCGTCTACTTCCCGCGTCATCGAATTCCGCATTCTCGTCGTCTCTAGCATTCAGGCCGAAATGCTCCAACAGTCTGTCCTGTAGTGTGGATTTACGTTCGGTTGTCTCTAGCCCCAACCTTTCTAAATTTTCCTTTAGTCCCTCTACAGTCAACCTTAAAATCTGTCCGCGGTCCATAGT